ATGTTCATGACTGATCAGGAGAAAGAGTCACTGCGAAAACACAGTGAAACAAACCTGGGGCTATATATAATCTGGTTGGTGGTTTCAACCCCTCTGAAAAAATATGAAAGTCACTTAGGATTACTATTCCCAATATTAGTGGAAAGTCGTAAAATTCCATAGTTCCAAACCACCAACCAGTATATCTATGTATATCTCATTATATAACCACTATTAACCACTATGAAAACCACTATTATCCACCACTATTAGAATTATAGATATATCCATAAAAAAAATAAAATTAGTGTCGAAAAAAATCCTGGAAGAAACCTCTGATCCCTGGTGGATCCGACCCCATCGCTGAGACCCCAAACAGCCATGGATTTCCCATATTTAAACAAGTTTAAAACAAAAAACCAAAAGCATCTTGAGCAAATCCAGAAAGATAAACCATCAAACTTTGAGATCCAGTTGTGAATCGTCGAAAACATTCGAGAACATGAAAAGCCCTGCCCCAGCCGGACATTGGGCAGAGAACCCCTCCGTGTGCCTTCAGTTCTGCAATCTTCCTGGGATGTCCATCCCCCATGATGTCACCGTGGTGCTTTTTGGATTCACCCCAATGACGCGGGAGTATGGCAACAAATCTTAGGGCAAATGGTCAACAAACAAAAATCTACCAGAACTGGTTCAAGATCTATTTTGGTGTCTTTACATCAAAGATCCTGCTTTCCTAGAGATTTTCCCTTCAACCTATTGACCATCTGCCAGACCCGTTGTCCCACTTTTTGCTGGTTTGCGCCTTCACCCCCCCTGCCCAGCCAAGAAAAGCAACAGTAAGTTGGCGGTTTCAACCCATCCTGAAAATATGAACCTGAGTCAGTTAGGACTTCATTTCAAGTATGACGGAACATCAATTCCTACGGATCCAAGTACGTTGTGTTTGGGGTATATTTTGTGGGGGGTTAGTACCTTCTCAGGAGGTTTTTTGGGTCCATGTGGACAATTTATTCATTTTGTTGGCTTCTAAACTGCATTTAGCTGAATAATGCCAACATCGGATTAATCAACCGCCCCCCCCCCAGAAGGTCAGAACTCTACCTTGTAGGTCATTTTCTTGATCCCCATTTAATAATAAGCACTCTGAACCATAAAAAATTGGATATGGCTTACGTCAATTAGATCTCAATAGAATTCCATTGGATTTGTTAAAATCTCATGGATCAGAAAGGTGGTTGATTAATCAGGGGCAAACCGTGGTTATTATTAATGGGGGACATGGGCTCAAGGGGGGTACCCTTTGGGAGCTATCCAAACTGATGATTTTTATAAAGATTTTAATTAGAAATCGATCATTTGGGAATAGTTGTTTTTTGAAATTTTCAATGATCAACTTAAACCTTAAGTATAACAATCATGATAAAAACAAATGTAAAAAACAATTGGAAATAAATAGAATTGGAAATAAAAAGTGTTGGATAAAAAAATGGATTTCAGCACAGGGGGTTGATTAATAATGTCCCAGCCAAACGCTTTATTAATCCTGGGGGACCACCCTTTTTTAAATTACAAAAAACAAAATGGGCAGAGGGGGTTGATTAATACCGCGGGGACTATTAATCCTATGTTGGCATTACCCTCTGGTAAACGTCTACATAACTATGGGAAATCTCCATTTTTTAATATGTGTAATGGGAAAGCTCACTATTTCTATGGCCATTTTCAATAGCTTTTTGTATGTTGTTCATGGTGATTTCGGACGACAACCACCGGCTCCAACCACCGCAATTACCCATCGGCTCGGCGTCCCCAACTCTCTGCGTTGCCGCTCGTGCTGGGAGAAGCGTTCTTGCACGGCCTATGTTGTGCTGCATCAAGCAGAACAAGATCAAGAGCCAATCTTGGATATCTTGCGTTTGTTATATTGGTTGATGGCTATAAACGGGAAATTTAAATAGACAAATATACAGTGAACATGGTTGGTTTGGTACATGTTCCACTGTATGGCAACAAAGTATCAAATTACCCACCCAATCTCATCCAGCATCGAGGATGCAAACTGGACAACAAATGAAACAACACATTTGGCCGGTAAAGGGGCCGGTTTCAACTCTTGTACAGAATCCAGGCCAAAACCTTTCAAACATCATGCGGCCACGTGTTCTGTATGTATACATATGTATACTGAACATATGCATATATGCGTAGATACAGGTTTACATATACAGATACATAAATAGATTATATATATATACAAAAATATCTCTCTCCATCGCCCTAAGTGAAAGTTTTGCCAAGCGATAAACTGGTTCTGTATATATGTATATATAAATATATGTGAAATATATAAACCGTATTATGCTGTACTGCATATCGTTCGCTTTGTTTTCAGGATGTGGATTTAAGTTGTCTGTAATTGTCTGGCTGTCTCGTTTGACTGTCTTAGCTCCAGGACATCGAACACATTTTCGTGTTGCTTCCGTTTGTCATGGGTTCTTTGACATTTCCAATGGATGGCATTCCGCAAATCACAGGGCCCTTCCGGTGTCCTAAATTCAACATGGAACATATGGAACCAGCAATAATTACTACCCTCTGGTAAACTAACATAGCTATAGAAAATCACGATTTTGAATAGGTAAATCAATTATAAATGAGGTATTTTCAATAGCTATGTTAAATTACCAGAGGGTACCAAATCCAACAGGAAAATCATCATCTGAACCCCGACATCATCCCGTTGTATCCCTTCCATGTTGTGAATTGCACCCATGGCCCATGGCCCCAAAATAACGAGCTTCGCCGGCCTTGGGAGGCTGGGGCCTCAGCTGCCATGTGATGTGTCATAACATTTTGTAACCACCCACAGCATGCAACCAAGATGACTATCCCCCTACCCAGCCTACCCATACTAGTACAGTACTGTCGTACATCTAGTACCTTTTCAAAACCACCTGACAGCTGCGTTCTGCCTAAGTGAATCTAGTGGGTCTAGCCGATATACTTCGCAAAATCCATGGTTGGTCCCCCACTGGAAAATGGATATTGTCATTGTGGGGTTCGGTGCTTGATGTAGAGGGGGGGTTTGAAAGAGCCATGGGAAACAGCCCCTGGAAGATGTTTTCCTGTTGAAAAACTGACATCTACTGAGGTGAGGTTGGACTGGGTTCAGCTCCCCAAGTAGGGAGGTTTTCATCTGGTAAACTAACATAGCTATTGAAAAATCCCATTTATAGTTGATTTACCCATTAAAAAATGTTATTTTCCGTAGTTTCGTGTATGTTTACCAAAGGGTATCATCTTTGGCGCCTTAGATGCTTCTCTTTTTCCCCGAAAACGAAAAAGTTGAACCCCCTGAATCCAATGGGTTGTCAACCATGAAATCTTCCCATGCGTGCCATCGTCAATTTACATGGCATATGTTGAGGTATATGGGGTATGGTTTTTCCCATCATTGAAATTAGCTTTAGTGGCCGCTATAATCTCCTATTATCAATGATGAATGGTGGAATGACAATTTTCCTGTAATCCAATTCAGTTCTTTGATTACCCTCCGGTCATCAAACATGGCAATGGAATCACATGGAGGTTCTAATGAAAAAACATCTATGAATGGGGAACGTGACATTGCCATGTTTAATAAAACGATGGTATTTCACATTATTCAACGATAAACCACCGGGTATCTACCTGCCATTATCCAATGTAAATACCCATGGGTTTTCCATATCCTTGACATCTGCCGGAGGCTAGAGCTGGTTATACATTCCCTGATGATCTCACCATCCCCCCACTTGGCGGTGCAAAATTTCAAAAGTCGAGATGTCATTGGGGAGCTTAATCTAGTTACACATATGATGCACACATATACACAAATATTCACATGTATACATATAATAATAAATATATATATATATATATATGTAATATACATATGAATATATAAACATATTGTATATATATAAATATGATATATATATATGTAGATATACATCCCATTTGCATCCCATCAGTTCACTAAAGGAGCCAAACCCATGTTAGATCCGATTATATCCCAGTATACATCATTATATCCCATAAATAGTTCATTATATCCCAATATATCTCATTCTATCCTCTTATATCCGATGGTATCCCCATGAGATTTTTAAAATAGGTCACATTTTCATAAATTTATCACCATCATATTAGGGAATATCCTTTAAAATATCCCCCTATATTTCATATTCCATCATATCCCATTAGATATCAAGAAACCATAGTTCATGGCTAACTCCCTCTTTTCATGAGCTTCCCCACGCAGGTGCACCGGGCCTTAAGGGCCGCATTTTACAACGCAAAACACTGTGCGGTTGTGTCGTCACACCATGGGGTCTAACCTTCTCCGAAAAGAAAATGCTGGGATAACTATCAAATATTGGGATTTAACCATGAATAATTGCAATTTAAGCATTCACAATGGCGATTTTTCACATGAGTTTTCACCATCCCAACTTTTCGAGTTAAACATGGTGTAACCATGTGATGTGGGATGGGCACCTGTTGGACTATTGTGAAGTTACACCAGTAGAAATGGCCATCCAGTAATCCAACGTGATTCTTGGACTATTCTTTCCTTTGATGTCCAATTTCTACATATTTGAGCGCTGGCAAGTAAAGCTTTTGCTGCTGGAACATGGTTGGAAGCTCGCCGCCGTTGCTGGATTTTGCCATCACAAGGTCCTTGTTTTTAGTGAGCACAGATATATCTTTGACACATCCAAAGTTACAACTTATCGAACCGTAATATCTATAATTCACATATGTATGTATACACATATAAACAAAATATGTATAATTACATATAAATATGTATAATTATATATATATACAAATATATGTTTTATATATATATAATTATATATGTAATGATATATATTTATATAATATATATATATGGCACATATTTGCAGATATATCTATAGCAAATGGATTTTATGAAGCAACTTGCAACTGCCGCTGCGCCAACTTGCGCGCTATTTTGACGGCCATGCAAAACGCAAGGTTCTCGGGGCCGCACCTGTGCCGCTTGTCGTTGGCCAGGTGATTTGTGTGCGAAGTCTATGGAAATTATCGGTATAATACTAGCAGGTTAACTACTCTAAAAAGCATTGGTTTGGTAATTTGATACTTAATATGGGTTGGTAAGTACCATATATCATATATCGGTTGATACTTAATATGGCTGAAATGTTGAAACCATCATACCATGGGGTTGGTCATATGTTGCCACAAATGGGAAATCAACATACCAAACCAGCCGTTTTTTCACTGGAAATTTCAGGACCCTAAAATGGTACGTTAGTACCATATTTTTGGATTTTTGGGCAACATTGTGTGGGGATATTCTTTGAATTTTAGCCCGCGCATAGGCCTTATATAGGAGATACTACCTCCAATTTAGGTCTCTGAAATGGCCATTGAAAAATAGCAGGTTTCTATTTTTCAACATGTAGTGGTAATGGAAACGGGTGTAATATAAAATGTTACTCTAATGGGCTGAATATTAAACAAACAAACTGATTGCAGTATGTACAAATAGAGTAATTAATGCTAGTAATGATGTAGTAATGGTTGGTTTTCAGCAAACATGTTCAAAACGTGTTCGAAAAGTCTGTTTTATCTAACAAGAAAGGGGCTGAACCATCCAGTCATGGGGATGTTTTCACAAACAAAAGCAGGACAGGACTTTGAAGAGGGAACATGGATAGCTCCTTGGCCTAATTTGCCCCCCTCCAAACCACTGGATATTAGATAGTTTTTGTCTGCAAACATGGGTTTGTTTTGGTGGAGGAGAAATGATGTATGAAACCAAATATCTTCCAAAGAAGATCGTGCAACAACATGAGGCACAACCAGTAAACGTGTGGATATTTGCACTTTACAAAGGTCTCAAAACTTCAAATGGCCTTTTGAGGATGATGAAATGAAACCAACCAAAATTCGTGGTGAGCTCTGCCTGTAAATAAAGTCTGAACAGACAAGAACCAATGGAAATTTACATAGGCGCAAAAGGGCCTGCCTTGAACCTTCTTGACGGCCAACGTAAGGGGCCTATTGGTGAAACAAATTGTTGAGCTCTTCTCTTTGTTGGATACAGCAGCGATATCCAGCAAGAGGACATATCAACTGAAAAAGTGATGGTAACATAATTCGAGCCATGACCAAAACACTGTATATGGGGCATGGTCAAAGCGGAATCCAAACGTACCGTAACCTGTACCCTCTGGTAAACTAACATAACTATGGAAAATCACCATTTTTAGCATATAGATTTACCCATTAAAAATGATAAAACCATATAAATCACCATTTCTCTCTCTCCATCGCCATCCCGAAGGTATCCCCATTGGGGGTTAATATTGAAAGGTATAAATCCCTGATTGGGATATGGTAACGACTTCGGAATGGTTGGGTACTGGAATGGTTTACTGTATTGTTGGGTTGCTTACTGCACGACAATTGGGCTGGGAATTTCAAATTTGAGTTTGAGCAATATAGCTGGTAACATCAATAATAAAGACAGCAACAATAATAATGGGGAGATACTTCTGATGTCTGTAGATGATGGGGCACTCTCAAGTCCGACAGATTAGAATCATCTGACCCACAAACAATTTGGGGATATACTCAATTTTGAGACAAACTCATATTGAAAGCTGCTGGGAATGAGGTGAAGAAACATGGTTTGATGCAACCTTTTCAGGTATGGCCTCTTCCATACCGTTACCGACGTGGAAACCAACACATGCCAATGGGGAGCAAATCCTGGTGGGGGCAACAAGCAACAGGCGACTCAGCCGGCCAAGGTTTTTTCCTCTCAAATGTTGGTCAAAGAATACAATAATATCCCAGTCAATTTACAGTAGGTTAAAACCACATGCATTTGATCGATTTTCATTTCAACTCACCCAGTGACTTCACAACTTTCTTAGAGTTACACGCCTATTAGATCGGCTAATCTCAACTAAAACCCATGGTTTCATTCAAAATTGAATTCTAAATTTGTCATACGGTTCTCGGCCAGTACCATTTATAACCAAGAAAATAAGCTGGTGAAGGGCTTTAGTTCAAACCGTAATTTGCCTATAAAAAATAATTAAACAAATGCCTAAAAATGTAGATAAGCATTGAGAACCACATTTATAACCTTTTTACTGGTAAAGACCATTCTATATCTGGCTTCAGAACATTTCCCAATGAAACTCCTTGTCTTTTCACATCTGGACGCTCAAGCGGCGGTGCCAGAAGCAGCTCCTCCCGTGGCCAGCTCCTGAACATACAAACGTGGCTTTGTTGGTACAAAGCACGGGTTGATCTTGGCATAATGCAACAATAATACAACAATAATGAGATTTAATAAGATGCCCTTTGGTAATTTTACAGGGTTTCAATATGGTAAAATCACGGAGTGTTTTTTTCGGTCAATCTCATCATCCAATAATCTTTTTCGGCCATGGCTTCCAGAGTCCGCGATGTCACTAACAACTAAGAGGGTATATAACATATTTACATCTTGACCAACCACTAATTGGGACAATTGGGACCCAACCATATATCACATATATACTAGAAAACCATCCAAAATTGGGACTCAACCATCTGTAGTGAGATATTCTTGGGACGATCAAAAGGATTTCGCTGGCATATCACAGGCAATATAACCAAGAACAATAGGAACTTTGTAGGCAGAAAACATGAGAATCATGAAACATTGAATTCAATTTACCATCTGGTTATGACTAACACAGCCATGGAAAATCACCATTTCTATGGGCCATTTCCCATGGCTATTTCTATGGAATTATGCAATCTTTTTTGATGCTAATCATCCGATACTTTCAAGCTGCAAAATGAGAAAAGGCTGGGAAAGCCGCAAAAGCGCACGGCTGCGGGAAACACGGCGGGGCAAAAGGTGGGACTTTTTGTGGACACGTTGCGGGCAGAACGGATATTACACCCTACATATCTATATATATATATATTACAAACAATTATATATATATATGTATATATATATACAATCATATATATATATATATTTATTTACAATCATGTATATATATATGTGATATGTCTTAATTCATTTGTTTCCTTAAATCTCACCTGCAGTCCAGTCAGTGCACTTTACAAAGGTCTCAAAACTTCAAATGGCCTTTTGAGGATGATGAAATGAGACCAACCAAAATTCGTGGTGAACCCTGCCTGTAAATAAAGTCTGAACAGACAAGAACCAATGGAAATTTACATAGGCGCAAAAGGGCCTGCCTTGAACCTTCTTGACGGCCAACGTAAGGGGCCTATTGGTGAAACAAATTGTTGAGCTCTTCTCTTTGTTGGATACAGCAGCGATATCCAGCAAGAGGACATATCAACTGAAAAAGTGATGGTAACATAATTCGAGCCATGACCAAAACACTGTATATGGGGCATGGTCAAAGCGGAATCCAAACGTACCGTAACCTGTACCCTCTGGTAAACTAACATAACTATGGAAAATCACCATTTTTAGCATATAGATTTACCCATTAAAAATGATAAAACCATATAAATCACCATTTCTCTCTCTCCATCGCCATCCCGAAAGTATCCCCATTTGGGGTTAATATTAAAAGGTATAAATCCCTGATTGGGATATGGTAACGACTAACGACTTCGGAATGGTTGGTTGCTGGAATGGTTTACTGTATTGTTGGGTTGCTTACTGCACGACAAGTGGGCTGGGAATTTCAAATTTGAGCTTGAGCAATATAGCTGGTAACATCAATAATAAAGACAGCAACAATAATAATGGGGAGATACTTCTGATGTCTGTAGATGATGGGGCACTCTCAAGTCCGACAGATTAGAATCATCTGACCCACAAACAATTTGGGGATATACTCAATTTTGAGACAAACTCATATTGAAAGCTGCTGGGAATGAGGTGAAGAAACATGGTTTGATGCAACCTTTTCAGGTATGGCCTCTTCCATACCGTTACCAACGTGGAAACCAACACATGCCAATGGGGAGCAAATCCTGGTGGGGGCAACAAGCAACAGGCGACTCAGCCGGCCAAGGTTTTTTCCTCTCAAATGTTGGTCAAAGAATACAATAATATCACAGTCAATTTACAGTAGGTTAAAACCACATGCATTTGATCGATTTTCATTTCAACTCACCCGGTGACTTCACAACTTTCTTAGAGTTACACGCCTATTAGATCGGCTAATTTCAACTAAAACCCATGGTTTCATTCAAAATTGAATTCTAAATTTGTCATACATTTCTCGGCCTTTTTCCAGTTACAAGTCAGTGAGTCACCCCACTTAGGGAATGATAATACCATTTATAACCAAGAAAATAAGCTGGTGAAGGGCTTTACTTCTAACTGTAATTTGCCCATAAAAAATATAATTTAACACATGCCTATAAATGTAGATAAGCATTGAGAACCACATTTATAACCTTTTTACTGGTAAAGACCATTCTATATCTGGCTTCAGAACATTTCCCAATGAAACTCCTTGTCTTTTCACACCTGGACGCTCAAGCGGCGTTGCCAGAAGCAGCTCCTCCCGTGGCCAGCTCCTGAACATACAACCCTGGCTTTGTTGCTACAAAGCATGGGATGATCTTGGCATAATGCAACAATAATACAACAATAATGAGATTTAATAAGATGCCCTTTGGTAATTTTACAGGGTTTCAATATGGTAAAATCACGGAGTGTTTTTTTCGGTCAATCTCATCATCCAATAATCTTTTTCGGCCATGGCTTCCAGAGTCCGCGATGTCACTAACAACTAAGAGGGTATATAACATATTTACATCTTGACCAACCACTAATTGGGACAATTGGGACCCAACCATATATCACATATATACTAGAAAACCATCCAAAATTGGGACTCAACCATCTGTAGTGAGATATTCTTGGGACGATCAAAAGGATTTCGCTGGCATATCACAGGCAATATAACCAAGAACAATAGGAACTTTGTAGGCAGAAAACATGAGAATCATGAAACATTGAATTCAATTTACCATCTGGTTATGACTAACACAGCCATGGAAAATCACCATTTCTATGGGCCATTTCCCATGGCTATTTCTATGGAATTATGCAATCTTTTTTGATGCTAATCATCCGATACTTTCAAGCTGCAAAATGAGAAAAGGCTGGGAAAGCCGCAAAAGCGCACGGCTGCGGGAAACACGGCGGGGCAAAAGGTGGGACTTTTTGTGGACACGTTGCGGGCAGAACGGATATTACACCCTACATATCTATATATATATTACAAACAATTATATATATATACAATCATATATATATATATTTACAATCATGTATATATATATGTGATATGTCTTAATTCATTTGTTTCCTTAAATCTCACCTGCAGTCCAGTCAGTGCACCCTACAAAGGTCTCAAAACCTCAAATGGCCTTTTGAGGATGATGAAATGAGACCAACCAAAATTCGTGGTGAGCTCTGCCTGTAAATAAAGTCTGGACAGACAAGAACCAATGGAAATTTACATAGGCGCAAAAGGGCCCGCCTTGAACCTTCTTGACGGCCAACGTAAGGGGCCTATTGGTGAAACAAATTGTTGAGCTCTTCTCTTTGTTGGATACAGCAGCGATATCCAGCAAGACATATCAACTGAAAAAGTGATGGTAACATAATTTGAGCCATGACCAAAACACTGTATATGGGGCATGGTCAAAGCCGAATCCAAACGTACCGTAACCTGTACCCTCTGGTAAACTAACATAACTATGGAAAATCACCATTTTTTGTATATAGATTTACCCATTAAAAATTGTGATTTTCCATAGTTATGTTAGTTTACCAGAGGGTATATACATCACTGTGAATCCCTCAAAAAATGATTGATAACGATGTTCATAGTGTGGGAAGATAGCCCACGTAACCAAACCACAGCGCATATCAAGAAGTCATGGACCATTATATAGTCATTATCCTCTGGCAAACTAACTAACGTAACTATGGAAAATCACACATGTTAATATAGGACAATCATCTGTAACTTGGGATTGTCCATAGCTAGGTTAGGTTTACCCAAGGGTATATTATATATATATATATATTATTTAACAAAAAATATAATATATAATCTAAAATAATTTAATATGATATAATATGATAACAATAGCATAGTAACATATAGTATAATCAATAATAAAATATAAATTCTAGTTTAATATAACATAAAAAAATAAAATCACATATCTCTATATGTGTATATATATAATATACAAAACATATACAGAACATATACATATCTTCCCGATGTATCCCCGTGATCTCCGCATCAACACAGCCCCAGGCCATCACGGCAAGCCACCCACGCGGAGAGGATGTGCCCGGCGATCTCGCGCACGCCCTGGTCGTGCTTCACCGCCGCGAAGATCTGAGCTGCAAATGTGGGAGAGATTACCAATGGTTAATACCAATATAGTTAATATATCATTGGTAATATATTAATTAGCCATTGTTAATATACCAATTACTATATTAGCCATTATACCAATATAGTCAATATAATGGTTAATGGGAGAGATTGGGAGAGCTTCAACTATGTACCGGAAAACGTTGGGAGCTAACACGCTTGGCCAATGAAAGTTGGTGTTTAATCAGTAAACATGTGGGTTTGACCGCTGTAAATTGGGGTTCCACCAGCTAAGAGGGAAACAAAAACACATGGAGTTGAACCATCAAAAATGCGAATTTCTGCAAATCTCTTACATCCCAGAAGTGGTTTAAAAAGGGCCACTCAACCATGACCTCATTTGTGAAATGGCAAAGACCATAGTTTCCAGTACAATATGTGTTCAACCAATCCCTTGAAACCGTCCAAAATGTTGGCTCAAACAGCAATACATATATAATATATATAAAATATAATATATAATATAATATATATATATATATATATGTGCAGGCTTTATCAGTCACCAATTCCGACATAAGCAAACAAGAATGGAATATTCAACGGCAATACTGTGTTTGGTTAGCAACCAATCCGAAAAACACACATGAAAATTAGGATCATGATCACATTTTGCGATGATGCAGCACAAAAACACACACACACAATTCAAACTAATTACCAGCGACTCAGCATGTTTCAACATCCAGCACATGGGTCTGGAAGAGGCTTTGTGAAATTGAATGTGCCCTATGTTGTGTGACTGGTCTTAGACCCACCCATCCAACAGAATTGCATCTGTTATGCTTTCCCTACGTATCGCTGAAAGCAAAACCCATTAACCTACCCCTTCAAGTTCGTTTGCCTGCATACCCCATCTGTGTACCTACCCATGTTTGCTAGTTGTTGTTTGATGATACCCTCATACAACAACAACCAACTAATCAACTATATATTGTATACAGGTTCACCATCAATACCATCTGACAGACGACAAGCTAACAATTTCACGTGCAGCTATATATATATATATAACATTATATAACTATATCAATACATCCTCACATGGTACCATCTGTTGGTGCCCCCTCTCAGGAATTTGTTCTAAGCGGCTGTGGGCCCTGTACCTCTCATCCTCAGATTGGGCCGCATGGGACGTTTCCACATCTACAGTTTTCTCTCAGGAATCTCGAGAAATGTGAGGCTTGTCCCTGTAGATGGGAAATTCCACACTTGCCAAGTTTAATGTTGAAAGTGATTGTCTAAAGCCTCTTAAATATCTCCCAATTAGGGATGTTCCAAAACTGCATGTTTCATGAGGCACAGATGATGTTTGAACGTCTCTTAAATATCACCAAATTAGGGATGTTCCAAAGCTGCATGTTTCATGAGGAACAAATGATGTTTGAAAGTCTCTTAAATATCACCAAATTGGGGATGTTCCAAAACTGCATGTTTCATCAGGAACAAATGGTGTTTGAAAGTCTCTTAAATATCACAAAATTAGGGGTGTTCGAAAACTGCATGTTTCATGAGGAACAAATGATGTTTGAAAGTCTCTTAAATATCACCAAATTGGGGATGTTCCGAAACTGCATGCTTCATGAGGAACAAATGATGTTTGGCGTAGGCTTTTGGGGACGTCTAATCTTGAAACAAACTGATAGATTTGCATTTTTTTAGCAGGTGGTGGAAGTCCCACGGCGAGTGGCCACTTTCAAGCTTATGTATAGTCATCCCCAAATAGATGGAAAAGTAAATCCCTACTAATTTGATGGTGATTCACTTTTCCATCTATTTGGGGATTACTGTAGATGCAGGTTGTGAATTTTGTGCTGTTTTGTTGTTCTGTAATCTCAATCCACGACCAGGTTTCACGTGAGCTCACCACTCTTTTGGCCGTCCAGGGCGTGGTGCATAGCTCATGCGGGGGGGGGGGCATTGTCGCTTTTGGTGTCCAGTCTGGTGCATCGAAAAGACCACCAATGGGAAAAACAAATGTTCAATGGGAAAATGTTCAATAGGAAAATTATGGGAAAATTGTGTTCAATGCCTTGCATCTTTGATGTTCAATGGGAAAATTATGATGAACCACCCAATTTTGCGTACCTGATTGCCAAACAAACCCATTTAAAGTAGATAAATCATCATCCTTTAGTTGCTCAACCTATTCTCAAATCTCTACAAACTCGATTCATGTCAGATAAATCTGATAATTATACTGGTTGGTGGTATACCTACCCCTTCTGAAAATATGAGTTCGTCAGTTGGGATGATGACATTCCAAATATATGGGAAGTCAAAAAATCATGTTCCAAACCACCAATCAGTAATGTTTATAGATGAATTATGATGATTTACCTATTAAAGATGATGATTTTCCATGGCTACGTGAAATAACCAGAGGGTAATTATAATATCTAATCATTTCTGTGGCTCAACTCCCATTCTTTTTTTTTCCCACGCTTTCCCTACAAACTGCTGGGCTCCTGGGGCCACAAAAAGCTGCCGAGGCTCTTCTTCGCGTCCCGATCCATGACATCCAAATCGGCCCCGACAGCCGGAGCCAGGTCCACCTTGTTGATGATCAACAGATCCGACTGCGTGATACCTCAGCACCATGATACCCTCGAAAAATGATGATTTAGGCAACAATATATATATATATATATGTGTATATATATATGTGGTGATTTATTAGGTGACATACCTGATATATGATAGCTAAACTGGTCGGATTCTCTTCATATTCTTCATGGTCAACATGAGAAACTGGAAGCTGCATGATATGCCAAGCATGGTATCTAATCCAGTAGGTATTGATCCGCAGCCATTTCAGGAAACTGGGGTTTCCTAAAGATTTGGGGAACTGCAAGTTATCATCCAAGTGATTAACCGGTGTTCAATTGAACCGAGACAGCAAGATCAACCAAACATGAACATGCCTTTCTTGGGATGATCGCCATCGTAAAAACCATCATTTGAAATGATGTTGATCCACAAACATTAGTTGAGTTCCTAGATAACAAAAATGAAGCAACACGTTGGCTGTTTCGATGTCAATGTGTGCATGACAATTTCAACCGAGAAATATTGAAACATATTGAACCCCCATTCAATCACCATCATGGTTGGTTTCCTGCGTTTTTGTTGCTTAAATTCCATTCTGATCCAATTTCTTGGTCCACCACCTCTGGGCTTCTGCAAAATATGAATATCAAAAATACATTCGGGACTATATAATTGGAATATCATGTCAACGCATATATGTATGATTACAATTAATGTAACAAATGTATTGTTAATATCATATCACACACACACATATATATATATATATATCACACATGGAATTCAAATCTGATATTACGGATACATGAACTATTATCATCAATATTCCCAAAACATCATTCCCATATTCTCATATTGGAATTCCATGGTACTATATATAAATACTGAAATACTCATAATACCATATTAAGGGGGTTTCCTAAAATAGGAGTACCCACAAATCATCCATGTTACCAAGATTTTCCCTGATAAACCATCCAGCTATTGGGTACCCCATTTATGGAAACCCCCAAATGGCGAGCCAATTATTCATCTATCATTGTTAGTTCTACATTCACTAGTAAACACTGTTAAACACTATTAAGCACTATTAACCACTATGAACCATCATAAACCACTATAAACCACTATTAACCACTATTAACATGTGGTACCACTAGGACAACTATGATATATGTACCACATGTTTTCATATTCCCATGGTAAAACCTGGCGAAAAATGGCGAGCAAACCTTTTCTGCACGGTGCCAGGGCGCCAGGGCCACCTTTGCGGGGGACCTTGTCACCTCCGGCCACATCGATGACCTGGGCGGGACATAGGGCGGGACATGCAACGAAGATTGAGATGATTTTAGATGCCCTTAATAGATCATAGTATATAGTTATACCTTTTAGATGACCTTTAATCATATGATATTAATATAGTTATAGTTTGTACATCATATGATATTAATATATAAATAATCGATATTTCTATTTTTTTGTTTTAAAGCTGTGCAATGATAATAGATGTACTTTATTACTTTGTACTTGTAATTTCTTTATCATGGGTACAGTTATTTTAGACTTGCATAGTATGAAGTGATATACCTATGATAATTAAGCGATCATCCTTACTATGATTTACAGGAAACCATGCGATTTTGGCCATGAAATATAGGGGCTTTCCGGCTAAGATGTTCCCTTGAAACAATTCGGGCATCATCTGCTAGGTCGGATAGTCAAGAACATATGGAATGATGACGACATCGGATAGTCCCAGCTGAAATCTTCAGGTTTGTCTGAAACTAGGCTATCTCCAAGTGGTTTTAACCAGCACTTTCTCTATGACAATTGCCATTTGGGGAGCAGGACCCCATTTTCAGGCAGACCCTGCGCCTTGGATGAACAGTGACAGTGGGCACTTCAATTCATGGCCAGAGCTTTTTTAGAGTTTGGCATTCCAATTCTTGCAAGGCTATGACTTTGACCCATTCCTCGTCTACCATCATTTATGCTGATGGTCGTTTGAGGACAAACACAACCCTGAGGGAGTATGAGTGGGGAGGGGAGTGATTTCCGGGGTAGTGCCCTCTGAGGAAGTGAATAGGGTAAGATGTTTCTTCTTACCCAAGGTATATTGACACTAGAACGGGATCCAAGCACATCAGTCACGTGGTACCCGTCAAACTATTTTGATATATTTGCAATAACCCAAGAGTTAACTTGCTTATGAACCAACTTAGCTAAGTAGGGGGCTTAGCTTCTGGTAATGCCATGCCTTTTTGGAAATCACTAGAATTGGTAAATTAACACCTACTAATGTATATTATTGATGACCATACCTCAATTACCGGAATGTCTCATCCGACTTTTGACTACAATACCCTAGTGATATATTACTACATGCTCATTCATATCCTGCTAATTCATATCTAATTGCCAATGACCATGGCAAAGAAGTTATAAAACAATATTTTTGTACTTAATTGGCCATATGCCATATACATAGTTATATTACACTTATTTATTATACTTACATAATGGATGTATTATTATTAATTATTATATATAGTTGTATTACCTTTATTATAGTTTCAGTATATTATAGATACATTACAGTTCTTATTATTAGTTATTATGGATATATCATAGTTATCCCACCCCCCATGCCACCCCGCCATTGAAATCTCAGCGGCGTAGATGGTGTAGTCCGCCAGCTCCCTCGAGAAGTTGGCAGCGAGGTTATCGCCACCGCTCTCCTGGGAAAATCTGGGAATCCGCTAAGAACAGCAAAAAAAGCAAAACTATGGCTATAGTTAATATATTTAGAGTGTTAAGTAATGGTTAATAGTGGTTCGTAGTGGTTATATAGTAGTGTTTAATAATGGACATCCCCCAATTCTAGGCCTGGTTGGTGGTTTTAACAATCTTGCAAAATATAAAAGTCAATGGGAAGGATTATCTCATATATTATGGAATAGAGTAGATGAATATAGTAGAATATATTCTGGTTGGTATACCTACCCCTCTGAAAAATATGAAAGTCCAGTTGGGATTACTCTTCCCAATATATGGAAAAATAAAAAATGTTCCAAACCACCAACCAGATAGGGATGCCAAGGGGAGATGCCGATGAAAACTGTGAAAAAACGAGGGTTTGCAATGGTTTTAATGGGAAAACCAAGCATAATATGAACAATATGGGTTTAATAGGTATGGCGAACTGGAAAATCACCATCCAAAAAATAGGTAAATCAACGAACTAAATGGTCCATGGCTTCAGTAGCAAACTGTTTTTTTTCTGATGATCAAATGGGATGAATGATCTAAAACTATGGAAATCCATGGTTCCTGTCTTGGTGGGTGTTGCATATCCTTATTCATATGTTAGTTTACTCGAGGATACGCCATTCTCTGTATGAATGGCGCAGCCAAAAAAAGTTGGATATGTTACTGTTAAACAATATCTTAAAAAATGATGATGTGTCTTGAAGCCCAGCAGCCTCTCAAAGCTCCAACCAAACCGGAACCCAGCTCGGCTCGCTAAACGACTCCAACGGTATTGCCACCGGCAAGAATCTTACCTTCCTTTCCAGTGTCACCGAAGTTTTTGTCCGTTCGGCTTGAGCCTCCAGGAATCCAGTCAATTTGCCTCCCATATCCCTGGAGTCCAGCTGCAAATCAACCAATTGCAGTCCGTCACTGTACCTCAATCGGCCAAAAATCAGCATCAGGAAAAAGCCTGCTGCAATCCTGTCATAGCTGGTTCTTGCAGTGTCATGGACTGTCGCCTCCAATGCAATGATCTGGGCAACTGTTAATGGAGGTCGCTGCACAATCTTGCATCTGTCAGCTGCCGGAAAGTCTATATAGATGTGTTTTGTTTTCTTCTTGGCGATGCAGTGTTTGATTACAAAAGCTACAAGTACCGAAAACATCCACAAGCTAGGTATCGGTAAGTGGAAGTTGAATGGACCTATCTATATGGGATGCTGTTCCGTTGACAAAGCTCCAAGCATGAAGGAATGGATGGACTGAGTCCCCAGGCACAAGTTTCAAACCAAGGTGAAGATTTATGTAGGCCAAGGCCATTTGATGACACAACATGTTCGAACCAATTGGCCCCGGATTGGGCTCAACTGAAGTTTGGGGACTTCGTACTTCGTACATTGCAAGTTCACACAACGCAATGATCTTCAAATATTTCAGCTGGTCTGGTCTGGGCGACTCTAGTCAATAGGTCACAATGGCTTGCCAGCTAAATGATAGATCATCCTGGGTAATCAAACACAGCTATTAGAGAAACAAACACGGTTGTGTGCTCATGATCTGTACTTATATACATGTTATTTGCCTATTCAAATTAGAGATACTGGTAGAATGTATGAAAAAATGTCCATTGCCAGGCTAGATGACTATTGGGTCGGCCAGGGCCCGACCCACCAGATTCTGAGACGGAAACAATGTCAAGACCAACCCCTCGCCGGATCCGAAATCCAATCGAGACGTTTCGCGCCCCCACCGAGATGTCGTGTTTCTCCACATGCCCTTGCGATTTCCACTTTCCCAAACCAAATCCGATATCCCAACCAAAAATCCCCAACTTGGTATGTCTCAAAATGTTGTGTCCCCAAATCTCATGGGTTTCATTGTCCCTGTATAAACGTGAACTGCCATAAAACTGGGGTGATCACATTCCCCACTTCCGATACAGTGGATAGTTTGAACATTAAAGTAATGTTAATCCTAACAAATCCAATCTTACATTCTTACAACATATTGTTTGTCTACTTGTCTACGTTTATTTCACATGTTTGCAGCTATATCTAATGATATCATGTGATATCTGATGTATCCCCTAGGAAAAAAAAAAAGCAAATCTTCACAGCCAAGGGTCGCAAATGATAAGCTGAACGCCGTCATGCTGCTCAGTTAGAGCTTCACAGGCGGCCAAGTTGGAACTGATATCCTCTCCTCATTGCCGGAAGGTACTTGGATGTGCATCCCAGCTAGTAAGTGGAACATGAACCAAACATTAGTGGGTTAACCAAACCGGGTATGGGTCAAAAAGATTGGAGGACCACAGCGGATGGTTTAATAATGTGCGGGTCCAGTGATGCCCTAATTTTGACCAATTGCCGTTAATATACCAAGGATTACCAAGGTCATTGATTCCCAAAATACACATCGAAGTAATGGGTGATCACCCCAAACTCAATGAGCAGCATCACGAAATTGGTGGGATCAGGAAACAACCGTCACTACCCAGGTGGATATCGATCAATTTTCCAAGAAAAATTGTGACGGCTGAAATCTCGGTTCGCATGGTGTGCTGACCCTGCTGGCCCCACTTGTGGGAAGTAACAAAGGGGGCTCCTCCTGATTGGAGGCCCCTGAAAATCACACGGAAATTCAGCTGCTGTCTATCGCACAGCTACTGCGCCAAGGGTTGCCGGAGAAATACCAATAGCCCCATCAATCTTATCCATTAATATCCCAATCCAATGTGTGTCGTTTCGTGTCCTGTTGTCTCTGTTGCATATCCTGCAAGTGTGGCATACAATAATACAATCTCATCATATGTCCAACAATTATGTGTAATTATCCCATGGTTATTGTGGTATATATAGTATTATTACTATTCTCATCATATCTTATTATTTCATTCGACATGATAAATACTAAAATATATTCTATTCTCAAGAAAATGGAATATAATTATAAATCATTCCCAAATAAGTGGTTTTATGACATTGTTTACCCACATTGTCTGGTGATAATGATGGAATAACCATGGTTGATGGTGAAAATATGGCTAGCCCTATATGGTTTCACCTACATTATCCCATTATGATCCCAGTATTATCTGGTTGGTGGTATACCTACCCCTCTGAAAAATATAAAAGTCAGTTGGGGTTACTATTCCCAATATATGGAAAAATACAACATGTTCCAAATCACCAACCTAGCTATTGAAAATGGCCATAGAAATAGTTGATTTACCCACTCAAAACGATATTTTGCATAGTTTTGTGTATGCTTACCAGAGGGTAATCCCAGTATTACCCTCATCATTCCATGATTCTGGGTAAATTATGATATTTCACTAACCTGAATTATGAGCCATTTGGGGATGATTTCCCTTATTAACTATGATTCCAGGGCTCGGTCGCAGGGTTCGGTCGTGATGAAATTTACCCAAATATTTTGGGGGCATATCCCCTTACATAGCCCTTACATAGGCCTTATATATGGTAGGTACCTCCAATGGCCATTGAATTGATGAATGTGGTGACCCATGATTCTCCCACTCGCCATCCCGACGAATGAGGCACGGATGGCGGCATGCGGACAGCCCCCCGTCTCCACCGCCTTGATGCGATCGCTCTCAAGCGCGCCGTTGCCTCGAAAGGCGCGCAAGCAAAATGCTGGATGGTTGGTGAATGGTTGGTAGAAACATGATGAAACATCTAAGAAATCAGGATTTTTGGTGGAAAAATGATGAAACAATGTGTTTATCAGGTTTTTCAGTTCATCTGGCACTATTGAATGATGTACGTGAGACGGTATGGGCCAAGGAGTATTTTGCAGGACGCCAGTGTGTCCAGCCAGTTTGGTTACCCACACATCTTCATAAAGTACGTCTATCTGATGCGGAAAAAAACGACTTCCCAAGAACGTCTTCAGTGCCACCAGCATGCAATCGGCACCGGAGATCGCGCCGGAGTACGGATGAACGCTTTGTACTATGTTTCGGTATCGCCAAGTGAAATTTCGGTGATACATTCGTGATCCAACTACCAAAAAGCCGTGTTAAACGCCACATGAAGAGTTTTTGGTTTATTGGGGATGCATTGCCGCTCAAACTGTGAGATTCACGCTGTCAAGTTGAGAGCATATGATGTAGAGCATCTGCAAACAAGTGGCGTCCCCCAAGAGAAAAAACACATCGAGCATATTCTCAGGTTTGAATGCCTACGTACATCCCCACATCACAAAAGGGGGAAGTCTAATCAAGGGCCACTGAAAGAGGTGAATTAATCTTATATCACATTTCTGGTATGCTTGGATTTGCATAAGCATCGGGGGTGTATTTATATAAGCATGAAACCTGTAGCTTTTGGACTATAAGCAAACAACAAGACAACAAGAAACCTATGCGCTTTCGTACCTTCAAGATTCAGATTTTGCTTCCAGATCAGATTATAATTGATATGTCCATGTCAAATCGTAGTTACGATGCAAAAAGAAAAAGATACACCCCACTCTACAGCAACAAAGATAATTGAGTTATCCTGGATACCCTAACCTACCGATTCAGTCAAATTCCCCGATCTTTCCTCCATCATGTCTGGTTGGTGGTTTCAACCCCTCTGAAAAATATTAGAAAAATATTAGTCAAATGGGATTATTGTTCCCAACTGAATGGAAAGTCATAAAATTCATGTTCCAAACCACCAAGCAGTGATTATTAACCATCATTAACCATCATTAACCATCATTAACCATCATTAAACATCATTACCCCATACTAAACCAAAGTTTTTTTTTGGCTGTGTAGACACAGCGGCGATTTAGAAACTCCGCATCTTCGCGCGTGAAGATATCATTGGTCACCACCGCCACGGAGTACCTCAAGTCCAGTGATGGGTAAAGCCACAGAAGTACAGCGAAGGCTAGGACAGAAAATCAATGGGAATTCCAGGATCCTAAAATGGATGTACTGTACCATATAAGGCCATATTTTGGGGGTATATCCCCTTACATAGGCCTTACAGAGGCCTTACATATGGTAGGTACCAGAAAAGTGAGGTTACAGTTAGGATGAAGTACACTGGAACTAGCCATTCAACTGTAGGATAACTATAGGATAACTGTAACTTCACCAAATAATAAGTGAATGACCCAGTTGGGATGAAGTACACAAAGAAGATAACTATAAGATAACTGTAACTAGGTTATTCTAAAAATAGGCGAATTACAGCACCGGACTACGGATGCAAACATGGTGGAAGTAGTAGGGGGAAAAGTATGGTGGATTTAAGCAATAGAAACGATGGGCCAGCAAGCCTAGCGAGACAAAAAGTGCGCTGAATACAAACATGGGACATCATAAAACCTAAAAAAATGATCTTCCAAATATAACAATCATCTTCCAGAGTACCCTAGGGTCAACCAATATAATAAGATATGGAGAGCTGTGGGACTATGGAAAACCAGTGGTGCTAACAGAAAATTATCTGAACGTAAATGATGGACATTGCATATACCCATGTTAACTTACTGCAGAGCAAATCCGCTTGTATTGGCGCACTTCTCCCGCAGAGCTTTGCAAAGCTTCAGGGTCAGGGCGGTCCTCAAAGCATGAGCCGGACTGACACGGAAACAGAACGAAAACCGGGGCTCAAAATAAATGAACATTTAAATGGAAAACTCAATTATGAAAGAAAACCATGGTAATTGCCAAAGGGCACATAATCAATCATCAGGACTTGGAGTATCCAATGAATGAGGATGACTGGACACTTGTGGGGTATGCATGTATGTTTTTAGACGTGTATGTATATATAGTATAATAGGACATGCATTATCTATTCCGCTTTAACCCTATGAAAAGCCCTAGACAGTATACAAGTTGGTTTATAACTCCAATGCCTAGGATTTATGGTAGAGATATTTGCATTTAGATTGGGTTTAAGCGAACTTATAACTGAGGTGGGTGGCATTTCTGTTGGATTTAACCAATGAATGAGGATAATATCGGGATAACGTGATGACAATACCGGGATAATATCAGACCCTAGAGATCTAAGTACCATCTGAGGGGTAGTTTGACTGGGGTATGATTTGGGGAGTTGTTGCAATTCTTCTCAAGCAGTATTTGGATCGATAGGGTAACCGTAACGTTAACAAAACATGTCATATCGTATTAAGAAGTGAATATCCACTTGAATGACTGGAGGCAAACACAAATCATCGACCATGTATGATTTTTATCACCATTCTCTTGGTTAAGTAGTCATGTTTTGATGGTTGAATGCTTATATTTAGGGACCAAGCTTTTCACGTTGATTGTATACTTCTTAAAATTCCCATTGTATCCCAATTTCAGTAGATTCCTGTCAAATATTCGCATCCTTCTGGATCCTGATTTTGGGAGATCAGTGGTATCTTCAAACCCAATAAATTTGCTCCGCCTGGATGTACATTTCAATTTATATATATATATATACATATGTATACCCTGTATTAAAAACAAAAAAACTATAGAATCTATATAGACTATAAACCCATTCATCTACCCATATTCCATGGACAAGTTGCTTGTTTCACATGCTTATCATTCACAAAACTGATACCTGGGCTGCACCAAGGATCTTTCCAGATCCCACGGGCCCTCCAATTCCCACGGTAAAGGCTCGCTCCTGCCAGTCCTCAAAGGGCGGGCACGCTCGGTGGTACGAAATTCATCGTTCCCAAATAAATGGAGTGATTATGAATGGAATGATCCATTCATAAATTTTGAATGGTACTAATCTAAGTTTCCAAATATGACTCTGGGGAAAAACCGCATAAACTACTACTAGTAACCACTGATAATCATCAGGAACCATCTAAATTCATCTACCATCTGGTTATGACTAACATAGCGAACTGGACAATCCCAACCATAAATGGAAGTTTCGTTCGCTGGGAAAATCACCTATTTCTATGGGCCATTTTCTATGGCTACGTTAGTCATAACCAGAGGGTAAATCATCTAAGTTCATCTAAATTCATCATTTGGCCCATTTGCCAACCATGAACAACGAATTGGTAGTTTAGCCATGCAACACAAATGGGGGTTAAACCGCCTGACCAAGAATATGTTGGGATTTAAGATTCAAACATGTGGCTTTAACTTTGAAAATGGAGAGTTGGGTTTCCATCAGATGGATATCATCTCAGAAAATGCAGGAGCTAAGCCTGCCCCTCAAAAATTGCGCATCTAAACACATCTTAAAACATTGGAAAGCGGGGATAGGCCCTCCAGAAATCAACCGCGGCCATGCAAACATCACAATCTTTGATGGGACAAATACAACATCTAATTTATCTAATATCTATAGATAGTTTGTTTCCCCTGCATAGGCACAGTGGGTTGGATTGGAGGGTACAGCCTGATGAAAACTGACATGACAGCCCATATGCAATCTGGTATCAAACATTGTTTTCTAGAGAATCCATAATTTACAGATGATCTACAGGGCCAGGATCCGGGACGATGTACGGACCTACCGTAGATGGACGAAATATTCAAACCCCTTCTATCCGGTACAACCCCCCGGCCCCCTAAGTTCAATGTTCAATGTTAATGTAACCTGAAGTGCATTAGCCCTAATGGACGAAACAAATAAATCAAACTCCTAACATCACTTTTGGTAACACGCACGCTGAAACATTGAGATTTGGGGGTGCGGGGGTTCAACATAGGTTTGAATATTTTGTCCATCTACTGTAGTGGAGGTAGATCGCCAGGATGTAGCACCATCTGCAACGCCCTCATGGTGTGTGGCATCTCCGGCGTCTCTCCCTCTTTCAGCAAGGCATCCAGTTCCTTGATCCCCGGCATTCTGAGCGCCGCCAGCAGAAACTGGATCACACGATGCAGTCTCGCTATCTCCTCGTGCGCCCTGTTCAGTCGACGAGCCAGGTGTCCTCCATCTCTACACAGGCCTTTGTCATCTCCAGCTCCTTTCTCTGCCTTGGCGCATAAAAAAAATAGAATCCGTACCCTCTGGTAATTTAACGTAGCTATTGAACATGGCCCATTTATAGTTGATTTACTTATTAAAGATGATGATTTTCCATAGTTATGTTAGTTTACCAGAGGGTAACTGCTGCTATTATAGTCAGATTTTACATTTCCAAAATTCTGCAGGGTGCTATACTTCTTCGGACTGCTGATTTTCCGTTGCTAGGTTTGGCTACTGGAGGGTGCAGTAGCGGGTTTGAGGTTGGTGGCCCTCGTGCCGCCCAATTTATTTAGGGGTTGACCCTGGGTTCTGTAGCTTCTGTTTCTTCTTCTTCTTCTTGTTGCTGCGTTCATCCATTGTTTGTTGTCTTCCAGTCCTGGTGGATGATTTCCACACTTTTTATTAATAACATCCTCCCACACAACTCCAGTACGGTCGTGCCACCCAGTTATAAGTTTGTTTGTAAACCAATCCAACTATAGATCTATCTACCTAAAGCTCTGGATACCTTACTTATGAACTTAGCTAACCAACGAGGGTGCTGACCCTGGATATTCTCCAAGGCAAGCCTGGGCGACTCCAAACTACTCTACGAACAAATTCCGGCTTGGAGACTCGCCGTGCCCAGAGCGGATGCTCTCGCTCAGCAAAGTGACCTGTGACCAGGAATCCCGCCACTGAGTGCGTACACGTGGTTGCTACCATGATGGGACCTACCGTCAATGGTTTGATCTAAAGGGAATATCCACGGTTGAAGTTGGTTGGGGTGAGAGTTCCCAAAACATGTTGCCATCATCCAATTATATCCAATTAAGGGGTTCCAAGTGTTGCCATATTCGAATCCCAAGTTAAATATGTCAAATAACCAAGTGCATGTAAAGTAAGAAATACCTATTAGAGCCTGGGGTGACACAAGAATTCATTTACATCAGTTTGGGTTACAACTGTCATAACTAGAAATAAGTAGTGGGTTCACCCAAAGAAAATCCATCTTTGCATGATTCCATCACATGGATTTGCCATCAGGGTCATGGTAAGCCATCTATTTTGGGGAATGACCATCCATTAAAAGAACAATCAATCAATATCTGGTTGGTGGTGCAATAACCATCTTGAAAAATATGAGTTCGTCAATGGGAAGGATGACATCCCATATATTATGGAAAATAAAAAATGTTTGAAACCACCAACCAGATATTGGCAGTAGATTCCCTAAGTGGCGATTAGCCTCAGTGATTAGCCAATAATAATTTTAAAAAAACGACACACACACACACACTAGACAAGAATGGATCATTATGTGATCCGAGTTCCTGAATCCTGAAACATGCAGATTAGATACGAAACAATGCAGGTACGTTTACACGGGTCCCGGGGGGGTGTCTTCGGTGGCCACCGACCCCCCCGGGACCCCGGTGGCCCCCTGCATTAAAATTAGAATTAGAAAGGGAGAGGACAAAGGAAGAAAGAGAGAGAGAAGTTTTACATCTATTTAGATGTTACACACACACACACCCGGCCGGAGCCGGGTCAACCCTGAAAGGCAAGAGGAAGAAAAAAGCGGACACACGACGGGCAGACGGCCAAAAACAGCGCAGGGGGGGGAGGGGAACAGACGGACCTCCGGAACCAACCTACACGGCGAAACGGACCTGACCAAAACAGCGCACACACCTAAACCCCACAACACGTTACGGAGAGGCACGCAGGGAAAGATTAGGGACCAAATGGGGAACTAGTTGATGCCGGACAAAAAACAAAACAATTAGTTAAAAAACAGGACCCAGTTCCTATACCTACTGCAGGTTCGTGCAATTGTGCCACAACAGGCCCGTGTTCCAGTCAGCCACAAGGGCATAAACGGCTTACAAGTTCCATCGAATTAGATGCACAACATGTTTCACCTCACCAGATACCAAAGAGACCACACCTGCAGGAAAAGGACATGCCTGTTGCCTGTTGTCTTGCATGTCATGTCTCATCGCAAACGCTGAAGCTGCAGTGAAAACGGAGGTTTCTGAATGTTCGGTATGGCTTCACTTGAAAGAACGGAGCACTGGGATCCCTTGGACCGCGGGAACAGCGGGACATCTGAAAAGATTGACAAACCGCAAGGCTGACTGTTTCGCTTTACTTAGATGAATTACTAAATTAAAATGTGTTAATTCGGCAGTCAGGACAGTCATCACTCACCCTAAAAAGGGTTGCCTCAAATGGCTCCATGGCACCATGTCGGAGCCACCATGGAAATCACACTAGACAAGAATGGATCATTATGTGATCCGGCAGGAACTGATTCCTGAAACATGCAGATTAGATACGAAACAATGCAGGTACGTTTACACGGGTCCCGGGGGGGTGTCTTCGGTGGCCACCGACCTCCCCGGGACCCCGGTGGCCCCCTGCATTAAAATTAGAATTAGAAAGGGAGAGGACAAAGGAAGAAAAAGAGAGAGAAGTTTTACATCTATTTAGATGTTACACACACACACACCGGGAACCCGGTATCTTACGAAGAATCGGAGCATTCCGAGCAGTGCTTGGGACTTGTGGAAATTGCATGAAATTGCAGCAAAGTGGCCAAGTTACCCACACCATAACCAGACCCAAGTTACCCAATGTCTTGCCATTTTGGGGTATCAAACATCATTCATTTATCATTGGGTTCAATGTGGTAAAATATAAGCCAACCTCAATCACATACAATCAATAGGTTGCAGAAACCATCCCGAATTAGAGTTTTGGGCGGTTGAACTTCCAAAGTTTTTGGTGTAATGTTCAAAAAATGTTGGCAACTTCCTGCTTCCTGTTGCATGAGTATCATGAGTCAATGCCTTGAGGTTTTCATGATTCACCACCAGGAAATCGTTTCAAACCCATCTTACATTGTTGTTATATAATTGTTGTTCATGTTATGACGTTTGCATCTCATGGTGCCTGGCTTGCTCCAATTGTTGGGTGGTTATGGCACCATTCAATCACTATTTGCAACTTATATTTCCCACTGTATGTCAAATGTATATATATATATATATCAAATTCCGAACAGATAGTTATTTCTAATAAAATTATCCCAGCAAATATAACTTACATATATATTTCAAATAAAATTATCCCAACATATTCCAATTGATCTTGGATATTTCTTTCTGCTTCACCCCAAAGGCCTGGATGGTCCATGCTGTCATGGCTATGCCCGTGACCATCGCCGTGGCCGTGGCCACCGTGGCTTCGCTGTTGCAAGACCTCAGCGAGACTTTTTTTTGCTGGAAAATATGGGGAAGCAGTAACTATATTAGATAGATTAGATAGATTAGATAGATTAGATAGATTAGATAGATTAGATAGATTAGATAGATTAGATAGATTAGATAGATTAGATAGATTAGATAGATTAGATAGATTAGATCGATTAGATCGATTAGATCGATTAGATCGATTAGATAGATTAGATAGATTAGATAGATTAGATAGATAGATAGATAGATAGATAGATAGATAGATAGATTGATAGATAGATTGATAGATAGATTGATAGATTGATAGATAGATTGATAGATGAATAGATGGATAGATGAATAGATGGATAGATGGATAGATGGATAGATGGATAGATGGATAGATGGATAGATGGATAGATAGATAGATAGATTGATAGATAGATAGATAGATAGACAGACCATCCTGGAAACACAATGTCTACTTTTTGTTGTGGGTCACTCTTTATGTATGTATATATATATAATACATATTTATGTATATATATATATATAGATAAGTACCCAACTGAATGACCAATCATTGTGTACATATGTAATACTGGGTTTGTTGGCCGGGGGGTATCCATAGTTATATGAACTGTTATTGGCTGATGGTTTGTGCGGGTACCAGCTATATAAATATTGTGGTTCGTGTATAGAGATCGAGAACAGTCACGTTGATGAACAAAAACATCTGGAAAACAAAATGTGGATAAACGTGGATTATCTCTCCGTGGATCTGCGCAGAATTGGACTGTTGAATTTGTTTTTTCCGTCCAAATATATATAGGTTTTCTCGAGATGGTCCATCATCCAAGCCTGGGAATCTTAAATACCCACAAGAACATCGATAGACAGTAGGGATTTATCCATGAAACAAAGGGATTGAAGAGGCAAACATTGGATTAACATCAGAAAATAGGGGGCTAGACCCAACAAAAAAGATGGTTATTAGGTGGGCATGAAACCTCCGATCAACATGGTTGCTATGACATGCCATGACAATTTCCATGAAGATGTTCACGCGCACCTAGCCCTAAGTTTGCTGGTTGGTCATCAAATTCCCCGGATCAAAATTGAAACTTTCTCGATACATTATACCCTCTGCTAAACATACAAAAAACATGGAAAAAACAACATTTTTTAATGGGTAAATCCACTATAAATGGCAATTTCCAATAGCTATGTTAAATTACCAGAGGGTACATTATAAGAATTCACCAAGCTGAATAAGGCCATTTTGGGATAGTTACCCCTAGTAACAATCATTTCTAGTGACGTCGCAGGGTTTGGTCATCAGAATTGATCCATTTTTTTGGATTACCCTCTGGTAAACTAACAGTCTGCTATTGAAAATGGCCATAGAAATAGTTTATTTACCCAATAAAAAAATGTGTTTTTTTCTATAGATTTTTGCAAATGTTTACCAGGGGGTATGTATTTTTTGCTGCGCAGGCACATGTTTAAATTTTAATGGGAAGTTTGTCACAACCAATTCACCCATTGAGATGGGCTAGTTGGTCAAGCGGTGGTCGAAAGTGCATAGCCATGACATATATACCCCGTGTAAATGTAAACATAAATGGGTATACGCTTGGGATAAACATAAATATCCCCGTATATAGTGGATTTATATAACTCATGTTTGCGATATAACCCGGATAACATCACTAACTCACTGACTGACCCTAAACTTTGCCTGAAACCACATATAATCCCAATTCCCCATCAGAATCATATCTGGTATTGGCCAAGCAAGTAGCTAAGAATAGTCCATCATCCATCTAAATATAATGTCACCAGTATTACTAGTTCTGTACCTGGGAGCTATGTCCATCATTACCATCCATTAAGTTCATTGCCCTCCAACAAACTAACATAGCTATGGATACTTGTTATAAATTAGATGGTTTACAGTACTTTCAACAAAATGTGATTTTCCAGTTCGCTATGTCACAAATTACTAATGGAACCACAGAGGGTATAATGTTGGTAAAACACTAATAAACCATCCCCCAGTCATCACCATTTTTATAGGTGGTATGGTCACCATTCCCAAATGGATGGTTTATGACATTGTTTTACCCACATTACAGGATAGCAACTACATCATATGTGGATTTTCAGGTTTTGAATCCCAAGTCATAGCCATTTATCCCAACTATGTATACCTCAGAGCGATTTTCCCAGTTTTCCTAGGACCCCCACCGGCACCCGGCCCTGCAGGCCGTTGCAGCTGGGCCATCGCCGCGGCACAAGCGCTGCGCGGCAAGCCGCGCGGTGGCAAAGCAAGGAGCGCATGGTGACCGGCTTGAGCCACCAGAGAAAAGATCGAAAAAACATGGTGGAAAACCATAATTTTCACTGACCTCATCAGCAGAAATAGCCGAACATTTGCCGAAACGATGAGACAAGAGTGGTTAATACTGGTTAATAATGGTTTGTTCGATTTAGACCCAAATAAATATATACACGATGCACAATGGCGCGCACTAACCAGCCAACCAGCTAGTTGTAACTTTTAGTTGTGGCCTATCTTAGATACCCTGCAACAAGAATAGCTGGATTGTACCCATGTGGGGCAAATCCAATTAAAGTGCTAGAGTATCCAGGTTGACCCAGCAAATGCGGCGATTTATCGAACGGACATTGAGATTATATAGGTCATTTAACCAGTGAAACAATGTGATTTACGCGGCAAAATTGGAGATTTCCCCAGGTTTGAGATGAGGATTCAACAAATCACATTTGGAACCCAGCCCAAAAATATCAGGACTTAACAAATAAAAAACAGGCGATTTTCCCGCAAGGATATTGTGATTTCAGCTGCCGGAGCGGATGCTATAGCCACCAACATAAATGCCGATAAAGCGAACACTCAGCAACAAAATGAAGTTTAGCCAACTGCACCAACGCAGAAAACGGGATTTTTGAGTGGGGCGCATCGGATTTTTTCAGTCGAGAAACACAAGCTGGATCCATGAGATCCTGCGCTATTACTGACTTTGATTTGTTGAATATATCAAAGTTTTAAATGGTATCTCAAGATTGAGATCTAGTTTTAAATAAGCAGTTTGCTAGGGATTGATGGTTTACCTGGATATTGTTGAACTGCCCTAGCAAACCATCTTTTGTGTTCAGCGTTTTCTCGAGATGGTAGATTAAGCGATGGGGAAAAACTG